TACTAATCTAATCTCAGCTCTCAGAGTTCATAATTCTAGTTCAGGGAATAAGGTGTAAATACAGAAAACAAATGGAAAAATAATAAAGGTTAAAATTGGAGTCTAATAGGAACCAGGGAACTCCTATTTGTCATGGATGTTATTTCCAGATGGTGCCACAGGATTGTTCTCCAGCCTCGGTCCAGTTTTCCTGTTGGTTTTAGATTGCTGTTCTAGTCTGTGTCTGAAGGATCCAACCTAGTGAAGGGGCGCTTTTCTTGACTGAGTTCTCATTATCATTGCCTTTGTTTCCAACTGCAGTTAATCTCTCTATTTATTTCTTCTTTTGTTATTTTTTTTTAAAGATTTTATTTATTTATTTATTTGAGAGAGAGAGAGAGAGAGAAATAGCATGAGAGGGGAGAGGGTCAGAGGGAGAAGCAGGCTCCCCGCCGAGCCGGGAGCCCGATGTGGGACTCGATCCCAGGACTCCGGGATCATGACCTGAGCCGAAGGCAGTCGCTTAACCAACTGAGCCACCCAGGCACCCCTTCTTTTGTTATTTAATGGAACTCTGTGACAGAGGGACTCCCTTTGTATCAAAGACCTGTCACAGAAGAAAGTTAGCTGTGTGGTGCCTGGGCACTGGTCTTTGCCAAACATGGGGTCTCCAGCCTCTCTTCATATTATTATATACTACAAGACTGAGTCGTCCCTGATTTGAATGTAGATTTTGAATTGTAGTTGTCTTCCACTATAAAAATCCAGCTTAAGAACTGGCTTACATGCTCTAGTTCAGCAAAGGGTAAACACCCTATTAATGTGCCAATGTCTTGTTTTTCTTGTCACAGACAGGTAGCAGATCTCCTCCAGACTGGGGACTAGGGCTGAGAGATGCTAGAGTTGCCTGGGAGGACAGCAAAGGGTCCAGGTAAGATGGGGAAGAAAATCTTTTTTTCGGATGTGTATGTGTGAGCCACTGATGGACCCCTCTGTCCTGCGGCTCCAGGTCAACTCTTGTACTCTGGGGGAACTGAGGGATCAGAAGGGATCCGGGGCCATCGATGGTTCCTTCATTCGGACTTAGAACCTCCTTGCCATGGGCTAGAGAGGCTGAGCTGCCCCCAGGCTCCTGTAAGTCCCAAGCCCCTCTTTTGTGAACTTTGCCAACATGATGTCCCAACATTGGAAACACGGATGGTAGAGTGATATGATGTGAAAAGTCGGGAATGAATGGTGGGCCAGGACGCTGGGGCCTCGTTGCTGGGGGCTTTCAGAGGGTGAGACTTTCTCAGAGGAAGTAGTCTCCTGGGAGCTGAGTGAGGAAACAGGCGTTTAGTGCCATCCTGACTAAAATGCTGAGATGCATGTCTGCATTCCTAGGACCGGCCAGCCCTCCTGCAGATGGGCCACATGGTGCTTCCAGTCACCAGGGGGACAGGCAGCAAATGCTTGGAGGGGATCGGGGTTACTGCAGACTGCTTCCTGAGGTAAGGGCAGCATGGAAGTCGCCCCCACTGGCACCTGTGGGGCCCTATTTTGATGTCTGCTGTAGGAGCAGTGCTTTAGTTATTTGTTTTCACAGAAAAACATTTTCTCTTAGTCTTCTGCCTCCAGCAGTTATGAGCATGTAATACCTAGTAATTGAATACTCTCCATGAATGCAAACAAAAGCTCCAATCCCGAGAAAAGTGTAGATCCTGGGTTACACTCCCCAGTACCAAATATTCCTTTAATGATTGTTATTACAGTAACATTAAACAGATGTAGACATTTTTTTAAAAATGTGGGCTGGTCTCTTGACTTTTCATTTGATTTAAAAAGATTGATTTACTGCTGGGAAAAACCCCTCTTCAGAGGAAAGCTTTGTGCGAGTTTCATTAATTCCCTCGCTTTATGGCCACAAGCAAGATGGGACCACCAGTATTACCAGCCCATCCTATGTGATTGGATGTGTTTCAGCCCAAAAGCACATTTGTCATGGGGTTGTCAGAACCCTACTGTACTAGAGTTAAGTGAGCTTTGTATTAAGAGGCTTTGAAAGACCACATCTTCAGCCCTACCATCCCAACCCACCCTCCCACTGGAAACAGACCTAAACTCGAGTATAAACCAGAACCAGGAACCATACCAGTTCCAGAGTAATTCTTGGGGCGCCTGGGTGGCTCAATCGGTTAAGTGTCTGCCTTTGGCTCAGGTCATGATCCTGGGATCCCAGAATCGAGCCCCGAGTCAGGTTCCCTGCTCAGCGGGGAGTCTGCTTCTCCCTCTCCCTCTGTCCCCCTCCCCCACTCATGTTCTCTCTCTCTCTCAAATTAAATAAATAAACTCTTAAAAAAATAGAATTCTTCCTAAGCTAGTGGTTCTTAAACTCATGTGCACAAAAGAATCCCTTGGTAATTGGTTTAGCCTGTAGAGTTTGGGGATCCTACCTCAGAGCTTCTGGATCTCAAGGACTCTGGACACTGTTTAGCCAGTGGTTTTCAAACCTGGTTTCATGTTGGAATCTTTAAACAAATGGATGCTTAGCTCCTACCTAATTAAATTAGAGTATCTGAGGGGTCAGGCCCAGTGTTGGAAGGTTTTACAAGCTCCATGGGTCATTTTAATATGAAGCCAGAGTTGTCAGGCCCTGGTGGAAGCTCTGAAGCCTTGGGTGAGAAGGCTGAGGGCCCCTTAGAAGTTCGTATTGGATGAGGCAGCAAGTGTGACATGCTTATCTTCACAGACAGGTGTTCTGCTCCAACACATCCAGCTGACTATCCCAGAAATTCATGGCTTACTGTGAATATGCATTAGAAGGTTTGAGAAACCCCAGGATTCATTTGCTAAAATTTGTGTGGATGCACTATGTCCATTTTTCCAGGGGGAGGGTCCTCAGCTTTCAGTAGAGGCACTTTATTTTCTCCCCCAGCCCTTGTTTTATTCATTTATTCATTCACACCCCCCTGTCCTGCCCTCATTCTGCTCCCTCACACAGGTAACCATTCTTATGGTTAAAGTATGTGATAATCTATCTTTACGTTTGGCTCTTTTTGTTTGTTTTGTGCGCATCTCTTTATAATTTCCATGAATTGTGTTCTTAGTGCTGTCCGTGCTGGTGTGTGTACATTCATCCATTGCTCCTGACTTCATGGTTAGCTTCCCCAAGATTTTACCTCTCTGCTTCCTTGGTGATGGACACCCAGGCTTCCAGCTCTCCTCAGCCACAAACTGAGCTGCTGCGAACATCCTCACATACGTCCCCTTCAGAGCCCACTGGAGAGATTCCTGGGAGACAGACCCGGAAGCAGAACCACTGGGCTGCGGGGGCCACATGTACTTCTTCGGACTAAGGGGGGCAGCATGGCGCCCGAATGACTGCTCCCAGCTACACCCCTACCACCATCGTAGGATTCCTAAAGTGACCTGAGACCCCCGCTCACACGCCACCACAGCGAGAAAGCCAGTCAAGCTGGGCCCTCAGTGCTGCTTGCCTTTCCTTTTCTTTTTCCAGCTCTGCCTTCTTTCTGGTTCCCTGTGACATCTGTATGAAACCTCTGCCACCATGTCTGCTACCTCCCAACTCTCATTCCACTTCAACTTCCACAGACAAAATAGAGGCCGTCTTACCTTCCTCCCTTCACTTCCAAGGGCATCAGAGGCAGTGTCTTGTCTCATTTTTCTCTCCAGGCTCACCTCACCGGGATCTTTGATGCCCTCCCTCCCCAGACCTTCTCCCTGAGGCCTTGCTGCATCAGTTCTTCCCCTGGTCTGTCTATCTGTCTCCCTCTCTCTCCACGGGCTTGCTTCCATGGCCTGCAATGTTGGCCACTTCTCTCCCGCTCTGAAACAAACCTCCCTTCTCCTTAGGCCTCCAGTTTCCCTCCTTCGAATGTTTGTCGTCTATCACAAACTTTTTGAATACATGTTCACATGTGCTCTCTTTGCTCAGCTCCTTCTCCTGTGCTCCCTCACTCCCAGCCCTCCAACCCGTGGTCCGCAGTTGCCCGCTCGCTCGGTGTGTTCGCTCCAGTCTCCCCTGCTTCTTTCTTTCTAGTGTCAGACGGCACTCACAACATGCTTCTTAGAGCCGCCTCCCCTCTTGGTTTTCAAGGTAATATGTTCTCCTGGGTCTCCCCTGCTTCTCTCTCTGCTTTTTCTCAGCCTCCCTCACAGCCTCCTCTCCCTCCCTGCCCTTCAGAGCTTTCCCCCTGGTTCTACCGTCTAGACCCTTGCGTCTCCACCTGTTTTCCTGAGCTCAGCCACTCCTTAAGCTTCCTTGAAGCATTTATAAGCATATGACTCTCAAACCTGGATCTCATTTTAATTCAGCGAATTGGTTTTGAAAATTTCCAAATGTTTGTTTGTGTGTGTGCTAAGATCCAGAGTCACGAGTGACTCAGTAGAAGAGTTCACAGACTAGAAGTCTCTCTTCTGAACTCTGGACCCATGCACCTGGCAGTCTTTCTGTTTGCCACAGTTTGCGGCTGCACATCTAAACTGCAGATGAGCTGAAATGAAGTTTTTTTCCTAAAGGGTTCAGAGGCCAGCTTGATGATATGTCAGTAGACGCTGCTGCCCGCTCCGCTTCCGGCTGGAGAACACACCAGAGGCCTCTGGGTCACAAGCTGTGTGCACATATACTCTCTTTGAGTGGGAAGCGTGGGCTGTAGCAGCTAGAGTTCTAAGATGACAGTTTGGTCTACAGACTTTTTCCCCTGGCCCCTGGAACAGTGTGATATGGACAGAGTCACAGGCAGACGGGAATTAGTGTAACAGGTGAGAACTGTAGACAAATTTGGTGCTGTCAGTGACAGACCCTGCCCTGACGTTGTGGACCCCAGCAGTGCTGGCATGAGGAGTTTCCCATGTAGGAAAGTCCTACCGGGCTGGACATAATTCACCGTGAAACTAAATACACATCGGGCCTTTCTTTTAGAAGTTAGGTCAAGCAGATTAGGGACAACAGAGTAGCGAGTTTCCTTGAGACTGGCCTGGCTAAGCGTCGGGGGACCAGCGGCCCTGTGAACCAGCCTTACCTCTGCTTCAAAATCTGTTTGTTGTCTTCGATGGTGACGCTGTCAGCGTGGTCCCTCTTGAAGATTTCAAAAGCTTCTTGTCGTCCTAATGACATTTCTTCTCTCATCCCTGTTTGGAGACATGGGGAAATGGCCTCAGTCACGGCATCAGGATCCCATTAATTTCACTGTCACTTTAGGCGGACCACAAAGCTAGCCCTGGCTCCAAGAGGCTCACAGCCGAGAAGCTCCTGACCAGACAAGGTGGCCCCGGGCTCTTCCAGCTGGCCACTGACCCAGCGAGGAGGCCCTTCCAGCGACACCCTGCACCCTGCAGGGCTGGGCCTGTGCAGGCATGTGACTTGTAGGGGGCTGGACTTTGGAATGTCTGGTCGGAGGAAATGAGAACCAGAGCCCCAGGCCCCGGATTGCCGAGGACATCTGCAAATGCACTTTCTGCCATCATTCAGTGCTACAGCTCTCCCCGTTTTCCTGTTATGCCCCGTTTTGGTTTTCTGTTAAATTTCATGCTGGATTTCCAGGCATTTAGTTAAAAGAGGTACAAACCAGGCTGAAAGATACAGAACCTAGAAAATTCTACTCTTAGTCTCCCTATAACGACTCATCCTTGTTTCCTGTGTCTAGGGAGGGGCCTCGGTGCTTACTCCGACGTTAGGTTCTCCATCGCAAGATCCATGAGCAGGTTGTGATGGCGGCTCCTAGTTCACGTCTAAATCCAACATCCTGGGTCGCTATCGTCACTATGTGCCAACCCTTGCTGCTGGGCCCTGCTCGGGGGCCAAATTCTGGAACCCAGAGTCAGGACGTCCAGGGACGGCGGAGTGAGCAGATGGTATTCCTGTACCACAGCCCACTTCCCCCTGGACTCCCAGAGCGAGTCTCAATGCAAGTGTGTGCCTGGGACTCCCTAGGCAACAGCTGAATTCACAGCTGGATTTTGGGTGAATCTACGGAGTTGTTTTTTTATGCCTCTTTTAAAAGCATTGGTTCCTTTTCCCCATGTTTTCATCCAGTTAAGTCTATTTATCTTTGAAGCCCTGGCTGAGTGTCACCAACCCCGAGAAGCTTTCCCTGAGGCCCAGGCAGCACGAATCCTCCCTCCGCAGTCAATGATCCTCTATCAATGCATCTGTAACACACACAGTCCAGTAGACACTGTCACTTCACATGACAATCCTTTCTGGTGACAGGCATGTTTCTAGGAGGTAGAGATTACATTTTTGTGAATCCCTAGTGTCTTGTTCAATGTCTGGCATTTAGAAGGTGCTCAACAGATGTGTGTTAAATGAATCAGGTCAGGAACGAACCAGGAGTGACAATGAGACTTGCTCTAACTGCCACATGAACATGATCCAGGGCGAGAGTGATTCGCCTGTGAGGCCCCAGGTTCCGGAGATGCATTCATATGGGCCACATACCACATCTCCTCTTGCCTGGAAAAAACCCGCTGAGTCTCATCACCAGGCCTCGGGGTGAGGAACTGGACCAGCCCATCTGACACCAATTTAATGATTACCATTGATAAAAATAGCACCATGAAGAATGTCTGAATGGTGAGGCACACAAGACACCCCACCCTTTTCCAATCAGAAGCAAATGGGCACGTCTCGGTTTTGTCTCCACATCTGCCCTGCACACTCCAGAACCGGGTCAGCCTGGGAATGGGTTTGTGCGAGACTCGGAAAGATGAGTTCTGCTGCATGAGACACATTAACCGGGGGGCACTTTTCATCCAGCAGAGCCCACCAGGAACCAAGGGATTCACGCCATACCTCATACCCCGCCCCTGGTCTGTGCCCAATTCTGACAATGTGTGCTTTTCACTGCCAATGAAATAGCAACAGAGGGTAGAGGGAGCGAATCTCCATGGAATGGAGTGGGGGATGAGGAGAACTCCATGGAGACCACCTGGGAACCTGCCTGGGGGATCCCCCAAATTGCCTCCCACAGAGGAGGTGATGAGAGGGCAGCGGCAGGGATGGGGGCCGGAAGAGGGTTATTGAAAAAGTTGCAGTGAAGGAGTTGGGTTCACGGCCTTTTCTCTCCCAGGCTCTGCTTTCTTTTAGAGCTGACAGTCCGAATTGACAGCTGGGTGGAACGGCCGTGCTGAGGCTTCTCAGCGCCCATGGCACTGTTACAGCAGTTGGTCCTGGAAGAACTTAGAACCAACTGAAAACCCCGCTGCATCTTCCCTGAGGTGCGGAGGGGCCTAGGTAGTGGGAACAGAACGGACATGGGGTGCACAGAGGAGACAAGCCCAGGAAGGTAGTTTGCTGTCACTTTCCAGAGGATCTTGACATGTGGGGCCAGTGCTGTATCACAAGTATAAAGGAGTCGCCAATTTTCCAAGACTTAAAATTCAGTGAAGTGCATGTTATGAGACAGAAAGGTACACTGGAAGGACTTAATACTTTCGGTGACTTAAGACGTGCTTGGGGTCTTGCAGTGCCATGGGCGTATCGTCGGGAACACAGGACGATGGAGAAGGCATTCTGGAATTGGAGTTCTCTGATGGTGGGGAGCTCAGGTGAGCGGACACTGATATGTGAGGGCTGTAATTCTGGCAGCTAGCGTCCCCCATGTCTGCTCAGGGAGGCCAAGGTGCGACGGCTGATGATGCCCATCGTCTGAAGGCAGAGAGGCAAAGTAGGGCCTGGAAGCCTACTGAAGAGCTGTCTTCGCCTCTCAGGATTTAGAAAACAGCTCTCTCATGCGGCAAGCCCTGGCTGCCATTAGAAGGACTTAGAGCAGCTGGAGCACGGGAGTGACTGAAAGCTAATGAGATGATCATCTATTTATTTATTCTCTCCACCAGTATTTATTTCTCTTAGGCACTGTGGTTGGCATGTGACCGAGCTATAAACTTGAACAAGAAGATTAAAGCTTTGATCCTTGCCCTTAAAGAATTGAAAGTCCAGTGAAGGAGAAAAAACGTGAACAGTAACAATGAAAGCTGCTATTTGCCGTGAGGCAGGCATGTGTCCAGCGCCAGGAAACAGGGAGGAGGAGGGTCAGCTCTGTCGGGATGACTGGGAAGGATTCTGAGGGACGAGCGGCATTTGCCATGTAGAGCAGAAGTGGAAGAAGATCCCAGAAGGAAGGGACAGAGGAGGAGAGTGGATCAAAAGGGCAACTTGATTCATATGCGAGGTTCTGCCACCCAATAGGAATGGCCTTTGGGGAGAATAAAATGAATTTCTTATATACTTTACACTAATCACTGTATCAAGTGCTTCCTTACCTATTATGTCAGTTAAACTTCTCCATGATCCCTGGTCAAATAGCATTTTACAGAGGAAGAAACTGAGGCTCAGTTAAAGAAATGTTATAAAGGGGTAAAAACGGTCTGGCTTTTTAGAGGAAGTCAGTTCTGCTTTTAGATCCGTTTTGCTAAGGAAAGCATAATGACTCTCATCACTGTCTATCTTGTCCCAAACCTTGCATTTTCCTTACGGTATCACAGAAAAAAAGAATCACAAATTTTGTTTTACTATTTCTATTATTATTTCGAGAATGTGTGCACTCCATGGGGCAGGGATTTTTGTGAGTTTTATTTGCTGCAGTAATTCTAGCACCTGGATGGTACCTGGCACATAGGAGGAACTCAAATTCTTTTGAATGAATAAATGAATGTCCTACATGCTTACTGTTCTTCCTTCTGGCATAGCATATTGTGACATGATGGGGTAAGTACATTGATGGCTCTTCCTTCCTCCACCACCACACTCCTCAGTGGGTGCATCCCCTGTATAAAATTCACACACACACACACACACACACAAAATTCAACACCATCTTCTCCTACTACATGTCACTATGCTTCATAGCCCACCCTTAGAGATTCCAATTCCAAGAAGCTTTTATAAAAATGCAAATACTCTTGAAGGCATCACCGTCCTGGAGCTAGCAAAGACAAACTCCATGATCTGTTGACCATTAGCTAACAGATCCTGCGAAGACGAGACATAAGATGGTGTCTCAGGCTGGTGCCAAAATGGGGGAAAATCTGAGCTTAAAAGGGAAGGTGTGATGGCAAAGACAAATTGTGCCTTTTCCCCAACTTTGTTTAGTCTGTCAGATTCAGCTGCTCAACAAAGCAGAGGACCTTAGGAGTTCCACTTGCCGTGACTATTTCTAGCTCGTGGTTGTTTCCTTTTAGTGAATTTCAATCATAGGTCACAGTGTCGAATCCCAGAAAACATGTATGACTCAGAGCAGCCTGCTGGCTTGCTGAGGCACAGGACTGTTTAAGACCTGGAGGAGAGCACATAAAATATTACAGGCCAGTATAAAATTTCAAACAAAACAAAGCAAAAACCAAAAGACGAACAAACAAACAAACAAAAAACCCTAAAGAAGAAGAGGAGTTTCTCAGTCTCGGCCTCCAAAACAGGACATTGCAATTCCAGGTTGTGAGCTAGATGGAAAACACTTCCAAATCCTAAAGGTATGGCCTCTTCTGGATTTTGATACTTATTATGAATGGCACTTAGGTAGAAATGGCAGACAACAAGGCACTTGCAAAATCAGCCTTGGAGTGAGGCTTCTGTAAATGTTAGGCATATAAAATTCTTTGGTGCTGGTCCCTCACCCGTTTCTATAATGTTCTCTTTTTTTTGGCCATCCTGAAATTTGGCTCCTTATTTTGCTGAAGAATATGCATCGGTACTTTTGGAAGCCCTCCTCGCCCCCAACACAGGGTCCCATGGAAACCAAGTGGAAAGGAAACACATTGGAAGTGGAGAGTTTATGCTCCTGCCTTTGGGCCTGCTGTCTGATTGCCTTTAGTCTGGAGCACAAGGGCCAGAGCTCATTTTCCTGGCTGCCCCAAACAACCTACTGCTGCTCAAGCTATTGCTTAAAAATTGACAAAGGTAAAATGATGGAGAGTTGTGTTATTCACCCTGAAAAATGGATTTCTTGGTCAGAGCCAAAAATCTATTTTCCTTGGGAAAGGCATCTATTCATGTGGTGCCTCAGTTCCCTCTGACTGAAGAAGGAAGGGCAGAAAAGAAGACCCACAGAGAATGAGGAAAAGTGAGCGATGGTGTGGGATTCTGACAGGAAGGGGGGCGTGGATCACACCGGTTGGGCCCAAAAGCAAGAGAA